AATTATTTATGAATTTGTACTTGTATTAATGGAATTTATCGATGGAATTTTTATTATTATTGATGGATTTACCCTCGCTAATAAATATGTCGGTAATTACCAACGAATTTTAAGCATTATCAATGAAAATGCATTACTGACATAGCTAGCACTGATGAAATTTTTTTGTTGGTAAAGCCTATCTTTCTGGTAGTGAACATTGTTTTAGTTTCATGTTTGGCTTGACAAACAACATATAGTAGTCAGTGGTTAATGCATATCTACAAAGCTTACTTTTATGTATTTTGTTCAGTTCTTGATTAGTAATAATCATGTTGATTTGTCTGATTTTTGTTCCATTATCGTATATCTAATTTGTATAGTAACACTTGATGTTTTGATTAGTTTAGTATTGCTAGTAACTTAGAGAGTTCAACCTACTGAAATATTATGTTTTGTGGTCGTATTGTATATAGTTAACAACCTCCACAATCTAAAGCAAATATATTTATTTCAACTACATACAAAACTGAAGATAACTAATATTGATAAGTGATTTTTCATTATCATACTATTTGTTTACACAATTGCTTTTGTTTTTAAAAGTTAATTTAATATATTATTTATTTAAGATTAAACCTTAATATATTTATTTTGTTGTAGTGGCTATGAATATTAACTCTTTGTTGAAACCTTTTTTAATAGGGATTGTTTAGTTCCAATCTTGAAAGCTATGAATTTTTTCAGGACCATACTTTGTCACAGTAAACCATTTATTCTGCATGAATTATGGGTTGCTTATTGAGGTCATTGTTAGATTGATCTCTTATGATATGAGGCTTCATTTATGTTTGAATTTCTAAATTAATTTATTTATGTTCTTTAACATTCTAATCTTGATTCCTACTTTGATGTCATCCACTAAAAGTTAATATATTCAAATTCATACTGTTTCTATGCTAAATAGCTTTTGTTCAACCTAACAATTTCTTCACAGTTAGAATGAACACAAATTATAATGCTCAAGCTAAGCAGAATAAGGCTATTAGAATACAAAAAAGAGAAAAAAAAAATAAGTAGAACAACATTTATCATCTAATAGGATATCTAAAAGAGCAATGACCAGGACAATACTTGTAGTATAGTTTGAAGGAAATAATGATCATCGACAATTATTTCAGTTTGGGGTTATCAATAATTCGCATTCCAATTCACCATTGAATAAGAGAATAAAACAGCTCCAAACAAATAGTCAAGACCATTCAAATGAGAGAGCCTTACCTAAAACAGGTATTACTCATCATATAATGGTACAAAAAATTTATATTTTAATTATTATACATTTTCCTTGAAACCTTTTTTTGCTAACAATCTTTGTAGGAAATGAACCTAATAGAAATATTCCTAGAGTAGAACACTTTGAATAAGAAAGACACCAACCTATTACAAGTAAGTATGCAATAGTTTTTAAGTAAAAGCCTGTATTTATCAAAACAGTATGACATTGTTATTCATAAAAAATAGTAAATCCAATATTAATGCTAAATAATTATTAATTTTAGAAAATTATCCTGAACTTTCAAATTACAGAGGGCCTAAATGTATATGGCCAAGTTGTGGGGCTCTTATGCAGGGAAGAATGGCAAGGTGTTTCATGTGTCTTCTTGAATAGTATAGAACTGTACATGGATTTTTTTTCCTTTTTGTAGATTTTTGTTGAGTTTATTAGTGTTCAGACAAATAAATGGCTTGAATTTGGGATGAGTTTTGGATGAAGGCATTTGAGGCTTCAAATCAATAAATTTATTTTATACACAATGAGTGAATGAATAAATGAATGAATGAACTAAAATAATACATGATAGGTGGAGGGTAGATGCCAAAATATACATTGTCGAGCCGCCTCTTCACGTGCTTATGTTCAAAGATAAACTAAAATATTTATATATGTAGTCATCAAAATATCAACACAATGCATTTGAAAATTTGGATTTGAAAAGATTTAATACTGGAATTTAATTTTGACAACTAAATTATCATATTTGCACTCAAATTTATGAATTCATTGAATATTTATCAGTTCTGATGGTTTAGTTTTCTTAACTCTTTGTTGATTTACTTTTGAATGTCTCGATCAACTATCCTCAAATTGATAAAGATAAAATGAAAGAAAGGGCAACGAAAATGAAGAAGGGAAAGAAAATGAAGAGGAAGATGATCTTCTTGAAAAGGTTTTGAAGCATTCAAATCTTTCGATAGAGCAAATCTTTGACTTGATTCTGAGCTTGCTCTTGTTGGGCATGAAACTTCATTAGTAGCCCTAACCTTAGCCATCTGCTTTTTGCCAGGTTGTCCCATGGCTATTCAACAGTTGAGAGTAAACAACTACCGACCATTAATCTAATAGTACAAGCTTCTTCTTTTTTTTTTTTTAAATAATTCAATTGCTTTGATAGATCATTTTCTTTTATAATTTTAAACATAAGAAGAACACCTTGAAATTGTCAGAGCTAAGAATCAATTCAATTACCGAATATCTATCAGTCTCTTTACTTGTCAACAGCAAAGAAATATAGATATTTACTATGCTCTATTCAATTTTCTGGGTTTATGTGGTTATAGGGTTTCCAGTTGGCTCAAAGCCTCTAAGGTTTGTTTTTCATGTCTTCTGCCTCTATTTCTTACTTTTAATCTTTCTTGGGGGATTTTATTGTATTGCAGGTGTTGGTTTAGAGCAATTGGGTGTTTATCTGTTATATGAGGGGTGCTTCAGTCTTTGATACCTTTTACCCAACTATAATTTTTGGTATTTGTTTTACTTTAATTTCTAATGGGTATTATTTTTTGGCGGTAGAGTTGAATACAATTTAGATAGTGATATATTGGATAAAGAGTTCATGTTAAAAGGAAAATGGTACCAGAAAAATAATAATTTTTGGGTAAATACTCAATTTAGAATTAAATATTTAGAATATTGTCTAATTCAATACTAAACATTTTATTTTATATAAATAATGATCAAACTGGTATAAATGTGCTCAATTTAAGATGTTTAACAGAAGTGGTATATATGCATTGTTAACACTTTTAACGGTAACATGTGACATGTGGAGGCACGCAGTCGAGCATAACAAGGAATTAATTAAAAATGATGCATGATGCTATATATATATATATATATTTGCATCATAATTTATAAGTAGTTTATTTAATTTCATAGTTTACAACTCCCTGATTGAACAAATACTACAAGTAGATTGGAAAAAGAAAATAAAATTAATTAAGAGCACAGAGCACCTGAACTGAAGAAAGGAAGGGAAATTAATTTCATGGATGGATTCACACAGAAGTTTGTTGATCTAATTAGATTGGAGTTAGATGTCCATGGTATATTATTATATATAAAATTAATACAAGTTAAAGACAGAGGTAAAATGCTGATGTTGTTGGTTGAAAACGTAAAAAAGCATCAAGCGTCAATGATTGGCGAATTTGGTGGGTAATAAAAGAAGTTATAGTAATATGAACATGGGATGAATTGAGAATGAGAATGAATATATATATATATATATATGATGATAATGACGGATGTTATTTTTGGTTTATTCAACTTGGTTAATTTTAGTTAGTACTAAAAGTGTTTTTAAAGAACAAGTGTAAGTTCGAAAGGTAAAAAGTGGATTAGATGATACAGTGAGTATAACGGAAGAGAATTAATGCTGTGATTGTGCAGAAAGAGAAGGCGGCATGCCGTGAATGCTTGCGGCTACGGGGAGTTGATTTACTACTTTTATACGTCCTGCTCTTCCCTCCCTCTATATGTAACATCATCAATCACCATCTTTATCCATTTATTTATTTATTTATTTATAATTAATTCGAAAATTCATGTTGATGTTGTTTTATTTAAATGAATTAAGTAAATAAAGATAAAAAAAAATCAATTAGTATTCTTATTTGAGGATGGTTGTTCATGATTAATGCAATATATTGATGGTGATTCGGACTGTTCAATTTGCCATTAAAAAAATTCTAACGAAGAAATATCTGATAATTCAAAAATTGAAAAAAAAAAAAAAGTCGTTAATAGGATGACGTACGTACTATTTAGCACTTACATTAAATAGTAATAACTAGTCTGTAAAAAAGGATCGGCAGGAAGAGTGTTGGATTCTTCGTTGGTCCGTGAAAATAACCTCAATGAACTAAAAATATTTACTTTTTTTTTTTCTTGTTCATGACAATAAATAATTATCAATAAATAAATGAAAATTTTCTTCATTGAAACAATGATATTGCAATTACATTTTCATGTGTTAAATTGAAGAAAAACAAGGAGATGACTCCATCTGCAGCAGTGGTCGGCTGGGGCTCTGGCAAATGAGAAAGTGGAATGATATGGGGCTCCAACAATTGAAATAATTTTGGGCTAGTAAAAAACCCAACTCAGTCATTATTTTATCGTTTTCTTCACATTGATTTTTTTAGGAAAACTTATATAAAACTTTTTAAGTAAAATTTAAGAAATTTATTTTTAAGAGTATTTTAATAAAAAAATTTAAATAGATAGATTAATAAATTTAATATGAATATTAATAATATATAAAAGAATTATCAAAAATATTATTTATAATTAAAATTTAATCGATACTTATTTAAAGATAAAAATTTTATTAATATTTTTATTAAAAATATTAATTAAAAATATATATAAATTTATTAAATTTTTTTAAAATTTTATACACTTAATTTATGTAACAAATTTTTTTAATTTTAATTTAATTATTTTTAATAAAAAATTTCATAAATTTTACATAATAAATTTTATTTAAATCTTTTCTTTATTCTTCTCCCACTCCTCTCTTTCTCTCTTATAAAACTTTTTTTATAGAAAGATTAGGGTTCAAAAATTAAAATAAAATCTTGAAAATAAAGATAAAATAGTACTTACAAATGACAATCTCCTGTTTAATAATTATTCAAAATTTATTTCTTTTTCAATAAATATTTTTATTGTGGTAGTTAATCCATTTCGTAGTTAAAAAAAAAAACAAAAAAGGAAGGTTGTTGCAAACCAAGGACACCCAAAAGCTGAGTTGGAAAATAGAATACTAGCTACTAGTACAAGATTTTGGATTTTTTTTTCTTCATTTCTTGGACAAGGAAAAGTAAACCAAAGTTGTGGAGGCAAACCCAAGTTCCGAGTTGTTTCATCATCATCTTCTTCTCGATCTGACTGCTGCTTCCCTCCCTTTCTGTCCTACACTAGATTCCAATTTATCTTTTTCGATAGAGTCGTTTTTCCTTGAAATTCGTTACAATAGAGAGGCGAAGCTGACGACAAAGAGTATTTCCGCCTCCCAAGCTCAAGTCGGATGGTTGGTTCCTGGGACAAAGGAGAATTCAGATCTGCGACTGTGATGAAAGTAAAAGGCAAAAGGCGGTGGTTGCTTTTACTTTTGCTTGTTTTCTGAGATGAAGCCTCAAGCTGAGATTTTGTGAAGGGTAGGTAAGTATTTACTTGTATCGTATAATTATCTATCTATCGCTCTTTTTAATTTAATTTTAACTTTTGCATGTCTCAGTAGTTGAAGATAATTTTATCTGATAATCTGCTGTGAAATTATGATATAAAATATTTCATCTCAACCCCTTTTAACAATTTGACTTCTGATGAGATGAACAGCAAGCATTCTTGTACGTTACTACTTAGTCCTGCAATTACACATAACTACTTAAAATGCACATTTCTGTTCATTTCCTTTGTCTACAGATCATTTGGTGTCTGGAGAACCAAGTTATTATCAGACACATGGAGGAGGTAGGCGCGCAATTAGCTCCTCCCATTTTTATCCATCAAGCCCTCGCCAGCCGATTCTGTGAACCACCTTCCCTGCCCAGGAAACGTGACCTTTCTCATCAGACCCCACCATTTCATTTCCAAAACCCTTCCCAACAGCGCGTTGCCAACCCCAGGGACAACTGGAACCCTAAACTATGGGAGTGGGACACTGTAAGATTCATTGCCAAACCCTTAGATACAGAGATTCTGCAGCCAGGGACTGCCACATCAGACCAAAGAAAGAAAGACCCTGCTAATGGAAATGAAAACTCTGTAAACTCCAAGAAGAGCACTATGGTAAATGAGGAGGATGAGAGCCTGCAACTTAATTTGGGTGGGGGATTGAATTCTGTGGAAGAGCCTGTGTCCAGGCCTAACAAAAAGGTCCGCTCTGGATTCCCTGGGAGTATCAACTACCCCATGTGTCACGTTGATAATTGCAAGGAAGATCTCTCTAATGCAAAGGACTATCACCGTCGGCATAAAGTGTGCGAGTTTCATAGCAAAGCGACTAAAGTTCTTGTTGGGAAGCAGATGCAGAGGTTCTGCCAGCAGTGCAGCAGGTTGCTACTGTTCCTCAAATTTTTTCTTAAAATTTTCACCCCTGGCATTAAGTTTGTAAACAAACCTAAATTAAATCAGAGTCCTTTAAAGATTCATTTGTTTATTGTTTAGCTATTGTTTGAACGTGCATCACCTTTATAATGCTTTTCTGCAGGTTTCACCCTCTTTCTGAGTTTGATGAGGGAAAGAGAAGTTGTAGGTGTAGACTTGCTGGGCATAATCGCCGAAGAAGGAAGACACAACCCGAAGACATGACCTCACGGCTTTTACACCCTGTAAACAGGGATAATACTGAGAATGGAAATTTCGATATTGTCAATTTGCTGACTGCCTTGGCTCAGACACAAGGTAAGAATTTTTTTTTCCTAAATGAGTGGCTCTTTCAAATTAACCTCTTAATTTGAAGCTGATGTTTGCGTGCTTACAAGTATAGGTAAAAATGAGGGCAAAAGCATTAATTGCACATCGATACCAAATAGCGATCGACTCATTGAGATTCTTAGTAAGATTAATTCATTACCTTTGCCAATGGACCTGGCTGCAAAGTTGCCCAACGTCGGAGTTTTTAACAGGAAGAACCTGGAGCAGGCTTTGCTAGGCCACCAACTGATTGGGAAAAACATATCTTCTCAATCTGCTGTAGATTTAATTGCTGCCCTTTCAGCCACATTGACATCATCTTCTTCTGAAGCCCTTGCTATTTTATCTCAAAGAAGCAGCCAGAGCAGTGATAGCAAGAAGACCAAGTTGACCTGTCCTGATAATGTACCTGCTCCCAGTGCGCAAAATAGAGCTCCTCTGGAGTTTACTTCAGTTGGAAGAGATAGAAGTAGTACCAGTTATCAGTCTCCCATTGAAGATTCAGAATGCCAGATTCAAGAAATTCGAGCTACTTTACCATTGCAGCTATTTAGCTCCTTGCCTGGGGATGACAGCCCACCAAAACTGGCATCTTCTAGGAATTATTTCTCTTCTGAAAGTAGCAACCCATTGGAGGAAAGATCTCCATCTTCTTCTCCAGTTATGCGAAAATTGTACCCAGTGCATAGCACTGCAGAAGCTGTGAAATATGAGAAAATGCTAATTGGCAGAGACACTAATACAAATGCTGAAGGAAGCAGAATTCAGGGTTCTATTCTGCCTCTTGAGCTCTTTAGTGGGTCAAAAAGTGGAACTGGACATGCTTCATTTCAACATTTACCTTCTCAAGCTGGGTACATGTCTTCTTCTGGGTCGGATCATTCCCCCTCTAGCTTGAACTCTGATGCTCAGGTAAGAAGTAGTACCCATTCTAATTTACTATTTTATTTATACTTTAATTGGCTTTAATTTTCCATGGATGTGCCTGGTTGTGTGTTACACTAACATTTCTAATGGCTGAATGGTTCCCCAGCAGGATCAGACTGGACGGATAATTTTTAAGCTATTTGACAAGGACCCCAGCCACTTCCCTGGGACACTGCGGACCCAGGTGAGGATTTATTTGCCAATTTTGGCTTTCTTGTTACCTATAATTGGAAGTGGAGACTCCTAATGGTCTTTCTTGGAGGGCAATATAATGATGATTCTAACCACTCATTTTACAGATCTATAATTGGCTTTCTAATAGTCCGTCTGAAATGGAGAGCTATATAAGGCCTGGTTGTGTGGTTCTGTCAGTCTATGTGTCAATGTCATCTGATGCCTGGGAGCAAGTGAGTATGCTACTACATTTTGCATTAACAACTTTCCCTTTGTGCAACATTGAGCTGACCATTTGCAGGGTGCTGTGTGATTTTTTCAGCTTGAAGGAAACCTGCTTCAGTATGTCAATTGTTTGTTGCAAGACTCAGGTTCAGATTTTTGGAAAAAGGCAAGGTTTTTAGTTCATACAGGCCGGCAGTTAGCATCACATAAAGATGGTGAGTACTAATGGAAATTGCAAATTTTATTGCTTAGCTTCAAACTGTTTACATATTATAAACATCATAATTTTTATATACTCCTTGGGAGTATCTTTATTAACACTGACAAGGTTAAGATGTCTTCAAAGATATTCTCTGTTTAGTTGGTTGATTTGGAGTATGCAGTTGGATTAAACTGTGATGATTATAAACTATTTTGATAGTTTCTTTTTTTCTTTAGGAAAGATTCGTCTATGCAAAACCTGGAGGTCATGGAGTTCCCCTGAGTTGATCTCAGTGTCTCCTTTGGCCATTGTGGGTGGGCAGGAAACCTCTCTTCTAGTGAGGGGTAGAAATCTGACTAATCCTGGCACAGAGTAAGCAAAATATGCATTTTTATGAGAAGCTTTCATCTGCTCTTTCTGTCTTTGTATTTGAGAAATGTTAATTTGAAAATGGTGCAGGATTCGTTGTGCGTATGATGGTGGATACACATCAATGCAAATTAGTGGGTCAGCATATCTGGGAACCGCTTATGATGAGGTAAACATGGGTGGTTTAAAGATTCAGGTTTCATCACTGAGCGCTTTCTGTCGTTGTTTCATTGAGGTAAGACTTTTGAGTCAAATAATTACTCTGTTTGACTCTCTGGATCATACTCAGAATTCTGGAGGATTCTCAAGCAGTTGTGTTTTGACTTTTCTCAAAATTTTGAGCAGGTGGAGAATGGATTCAAGGGCAACAGTTTTCCTATTATAATAGCTGATGCTACCATTTGTAAAGAATTGAGACTTCTGGAATCTGAATTTGACGTAGAAGCTAAAGCATCTGATATTATTTCTGAAGAGCATGCTTACGATTATTGCCAGCCAAGGTCAAGGGAGGAAGTCCTGCACTTTCTGAATGAACTTGGATGGCTATTCCAAAGGAGAAGCACTTGTCCTTTGCCCAAGAGTTCTGATTATTCCCTTTGTCGGTTCAAATTTTTGCTCATATTCTCTGTTGAGAGAGACTACTGTGCTTTGGTCAAGGTACTCCTTGACATGCTGGTGGAAAGCAACTTGGATGTGGATGGGCTATCTAGGGAGTCACTGGCAATGCTGGCTGAGATTCAGCTCTTAAGCCGGGCAGTGAAAAGAAGGTGTAGGAAGATGGCTGACTTGCTCATACATTATTCTCTTAGTAGCAGTGATGAGAACAAAAAATATATCTTCCCACCAAATCTTGAAGGTGCTGGTGGAATCACTCCTTTGCATTTGGCTGCATGTACGTCTGGTTCAGAGGGTATGGTAGATGTGTTGACAAATGATCCACAGGAGGTATGAGTTTTACAGCATCATAACTGTGATTATTATTTATAAGCTGGTTTTAGGTTTAATGTAAGGAATTGAAACTTCTTCTCCATAATTATCCATATCAGAATATTTTAGTTAAAGTCCATTTCTGGCATCCTAGATTAAAACTGTTTTTCCTCTCTACTGAAACAGTACTGGTCTTATCCTGAATAAAACCATGTTTATACCTTTCTCTCAATTTGTGAAAAGAGAGGGGGAAGGTGGTGGGCTTGTTATTTCTACATATACAAATATACTATGTTGAATGCCTCAATTTCATTTATTTGTAAGCAAGTTTTTAAAATTTTCAATCTCTTTTGTAGATTGGGTTGTCCTGTTGGAATTCTCTTCTGGATGCAAATGGGCAGTCTCCATATGCCTATGCTGCGATGAGAAACAACCATTCTTACAACAAATTGTTGGCTGGCAAGTTTGCTGATAGAAGGAATGGTCAAGTTTCTCTGAGGATTGGTATTGAGGATAAGCTGACTGCAGTGTTGTTACATGAGAAAAGTTCACGGTTTAAACAAGAGCACACTTCTTGTGCCAAGTGTGCAATTGTGGCAACAAAGTTTAACAGGAGGTTTCCAAGTTCACAAGGTTTGATTCAACGTCCTTATGTTCATTCAATGCTTGCCATTGCTGCTGTATGTGTTTGTGTCTGCTTATTCCTGCGGGGCTCGCCTGACATTGGCTGCGTTGCTCCCTTTAAGTGGGAAACTTTGGATTTTGGCACAATTTAGTTGAAATCATTTTGAAGCAAGTAACAAACTAGGGGGCGGATTGTGCATGGATCTTTGGAATGGAAAATTGGTTTTGAGGTGATGTACGTGGGGCAGAAGGTTGAAGGAATGTTACTGCTGAAATTTTGGAATGGAAGTGATTCACAGAGAAGAAGTAAGCAATCATATATAGAATTATGAGAAATTTAAGTTAAATTTATTATGTGCTTTGTAATTTTCACTTGATTCCTTCACAATGCCTAGGAGCTACCAAGTCTGAAGCAATATTATTGAGTTTGTATTAGTTTCCTAATATCATTGTAGTAGTAAAGTTGATCAACAATCTTTAGGATAAAAATACAAAACGTTGAATACCAAATATATGTTTAATCATCTAAAAGAAAGAAGCATATTTTCTAATTGCTTCGCTTCTGTGAATATAAAATCATAAGCTTAATTTCGTTTTGTTGTGAAGGAAATTTAAGTTGTAATCTTTCTTTCAACAAATTAATCCACCGCATACTGTAACTTGCGTCGTGTTTCGGCTTTTGCAATATGATAATATCAACATTATAAACTTCATCGGGATGCGGGAGTGGTTTTTTGGCTGGTTATCCCTTCATGATATTCTGTTATTTAGCTCACCTTTGTTGAGCTTTGAAGCATTTCTCATTGCCTTGGTGCTTTCACCGGGGGGGCTTGCATGGGTTCGTTTCAGGCCCAAGGCGAGTTTTCTCGGCTTTTATCACTCACCGAGTCCGTGCTAAGTGATAGATGACACATGAAAACCGATTTTTTTCCTTAAAGTGGGATTAGAATAATAATAATAATTCAAATATATAAAAGTTGAAAGAGCAAAAGATTGAGAAAAACGATAATGCGAAGGAAGAGAAAACTATTTGAATTGGTGCATCAATGCTGAGTCGGTTCCTTGTTTGAGAATTTGATTGTTACCAGAGTCAATTTAACAGTTGGAAAAAGCCTAAAATTAACCAACGCCATGCCCAAGCAAGTCAGCATCTGTCATCCTTATTTGAAAAGTACAACCGTGACTTCCAACGGTATTTCACCTCCCCGCGTGACGGAGTCGCACACGTCACCCTTAATTAAACACGTTCACATTCATTCATTCAAACTCTTTTATTTATATCCTGATTATCATAGACCACCAAACTCCAAATCTCTTTCATCTTCTTTCCTACATGCTTCTCAAACGTTCAACCCTAAAACCAACAGCAAGAAATTTAAGCTTTAACCAGGGAATTCCTCCATCCATGGGCACCTGCTTCTCTTCTCAAATTCCAATACTGTCTGAATCCGCGCCGCCCTCAACTGCTCACGTTGTTTCCCTCAACGGTGATCTTCACAAATATAATCTTCCTATGATCGTCTCTCAGGTTCTCCAGACCGAAGCTGCTTCTTCTTTGCCATCCTCTTCCATCTTCTTATGCAACTCTGACCGCTTGAATTACGACGATTACATTCCGGCCTTGGATTTCGACCACCAGCTGCAAGCCAATCAAATATACTTCGTGCTTCCCATTTCCAAGCTTCAGCAGCGCTTGTCCTCCAGGGATATGGCCGCTTTGGCCGTCAAAGCCAGCGTTGCCATCCAAAACGCCTCTAAAAACGATTCTCATCGCCGCAAGAAGGCCCGAATTTCTCCTGTTTTGCTCGTAGCTCAATCTCTTCCCGTTCCCGTTGTTGACAAAGATGACGCTCCCACAGCCGCAGCACCAGTCTCCAGCACCAAGTCCATCGCTAAGCCTAAGCCTCAGCCTCACCCTAGGTTTTCAAGATCGGCTTCCATTAGAAAATTGCAGAAATACACCTCCAGACGAGCCAAATTGGCCGTTCGTTCTTTTAACCAAAGGTTGTCCACTATTTACGAAGGCTCCGCTCTGTAAACTCCAGCCCCATAAACTTTATCCAAAAGGACTGATTTTTGTAACATATTCGATTTTTCCGGTGTAGAAACTCACTGAGAATGCCATATATTTTGAATCTGAGTTATCAATTATTGCCTTATATTAAATTTTCAGGCTCACTAACTGTGGCTTTTCTTCTTTAATTCGTGTTCTTCTCCTGTGTAGAATTATCCAACCGGCATATATAATATTAATTCTTGACTTTTAATTCTAATCTTGGTTGGTCACTCTGTTCCTGTTTCCTATCTACCTTTTTTTAATAGAATGGAAAAGACACCACTAAAAGTTCCGTTTTAATTTGAAGAATTAAATAGAGAGAATATAACTTTAACTGGGGTTCAGAAAAATTAAGAAATTTAGGAAAGATTACAAGATGTCTAAAGGGGTATTTTCTTAAAGTTTTATTTATCCTCACTTGATTAATTGGTATGTAAAAGAATTATTAGTAATAAAATTAAAAAATACAATACAGTTTAATAATTACCTGTGTTTTGCATTAATGAAATTAATTCATTGAAAATTCACTGACAAGGGACTATCAATCTTCTATAAATAATTTTTGCATAAAAAATTTTTGGAAGTAATCTGAATTTCTTTTAAACAATGGAGGAAGAATTTAACATAAATTATTAAATCTCAAAACTATTATACTTTACGAAATCATATATCTATTTATAATAAAATAGACATCTCTTTGTATAGACATATACATCCAAATAGATGTCTATATGTATAGACATAATAATTCAAATATGTGTCTATTTATACATATACAATTTTTTAAATATAATTCTTAACAAATAATCATGTCTATTTTAAAGAAATGTAACTTTTACCATCACATGTAATTCATGTGATATATTATTATTGAAAATGTTCTAACAATATTTCACCATTTTCAAAATAATCCATATTTATTATAATCATGGAAATCAATTGTATAAATGAAAGTATTTTACAATTTAAACCTTCATTTAGTGAAAATAAGTTAAAGTTAACCGAAATTATATAGTAAACTATGTTTTGAACCAACTATTTCATTTGATTAACCGAATTCATCTCATACAATAATTTCAACACGCAATGAATACTCGATATTCATGGGCACTATTTTGACCATGTGTTTGCATCCTCTTTTTATAAGTGCTGTTAGAATCAAGTCCTTGAACTTCTAGAAACAATTACAATTCACACTCACATAAGTAGTTCCCATCAAGAGTGTTACCGTAACTATAACACTCTAACATATTTATGTTATAGGTTCATTGAGAGTATAACCTCATCATTCCCTTATCTTTATCGATACCAATATTTTTACTTATGATGAAAATATAAGAGTATAGTGCTTGCAGTCACATACAAAAGATGTACTGTGGCTTAATGAACTCAAGACTTGATGTTATACCAAATGTTGAGTTGAGTTTCGATCATAGGTGATTTTATATTATAAGCTTGAACCTTATCTTTTAAATTGCCAATATAATTATGTTAATTTCTCATACTACATGGTGAAATTTTTATACTAATTTGTATTTTGAAGATTTATAAGATCAACACCCCTACCATGTATGTATATACATTCTTTAAAGAATGCTCTTTGTATAGTTAATTCAACTATTAAGGATATATTTTGTACAATTATAATAAATTTTGGTTAAATTTATGGTGATCATTTTATCTTTATTATTGTCATGATGATTTCACATTTGTCCATTTTATATATTTTTTGATATCCTACGAAATTCATGCTATTACCACCAAATTGTTAACCATATATATATTAGATAGTCTTTTTCATCAAGTAAGTTATTGTAAAGAGGCCTTAAATTCCTTAGTGAAACAAGATAATGTTTTTATTATTTTTTTCATAGCTTCTAATCATAGTCAATTTAAGACTAAAATTTATTGTGTATATATACTTAAATAGCATGACTTTTTGTCAACAAATTACATATATAGACAAGGGTCTTTCATATATCCTTTTAGAACATAATCAATATTAAAGGACCATCAATGGACCTATCAAGTGACAATCAAAAAATATATGCACCCATTATCAAGGACATTATTAGCCATTTTTATGGTTTTAATCAAAACCATATCCATCACCCATTTGGTCAAATAACATTCGAATAATAATTCATTTCATTTTCTTAATATTTGACAAACTATATCAATGTTCTCTATGCCATTACAAAATGAAATTAAACACATACATGTGCCATGTGCCTTTGGAACATATTTAAATTTGCATGTTCTTTTTCAATTCATAAATATGGCTAATTAGACATTGGTGCACATCATTCAAATTAATGGTAATCGAATGACATTCATTTTCTTTTAATCAACATTCCATTTAGCTCAAATTGTTGGCAAATTTTAGTTAGTAATACTAACATAAAATTTACAAAATATAGGGTTGCCATAGATATACATCCTTAATTTATTTGATTTGACCATGATCAATCACTGTTCTGCACATTATACGTTGATTGCATATAATAAACTTGTGCTTGATTTATTATCTATTAATTAATACTAGTATGTTTTGGCAACTGTCATTCACATTTACCATTTATCTCATGCATATCAATATAGGCATAATTAACCAATGTAGACATTAAAAACAAAATTAAAGATAGATAATCATGAAACTTGTATCAAATACAAATAATTCTACAAAAATGTAAAATGATTATGCCACTTTCAATCACACTTAGTGAGAACAAAAGCAAATAGTTCATGTAGACATTGAATTTTATTCGAAATGTTTTAATGCAATTGGCTCAAACTTATTTTTGAACATGGATCGGAGTCATTAATTTGATCCTATTACATATTTAAAAAACCCAATTAAGGGCACAATTGCAAATTTGATTCATGGCTCAATTATGACCCATTTAAGACCTAATAGGCAACTCTTAAAGGCATGTTTAGACGTTTAAACAAAATCCGTTTTACAACTCCAAAAAAGGCCCAAAAGCAGCCCATTACATGGTCCAATTCATAGCCCAATATGGCCCAAAGCTGTTTTATTTATGGACCAAATATGGTCTTTATGCAATGAGCCCAAGCAAAGGCTTATTTTAGTGAAAAATTCTGGTTACATAAGTACATGCAAGACAAAAAGGGGAACATGTAGTTGAGAAGAAAGAGGCGATTGAGGGAGACAAAGAAAACAGAAACTGGTGAGCTAACTGCAGAGAAAAAAAAAGTGAGTTAGTGGCTTGCAGTATAGAGGGGTGAAAGAGAAAAAAAAACAAAAGTGGAAGAACTTGGAAGGCAAGTAAAAAAGGGGTCAGTGAAGAGTTTTAAAAGGAGGGGAGCTAAAGAAAAGAGGGAAACGGTTGAAAAAAATCTGAAAAAAAAGAGAAGAGAGTGGAAAAGAAAGCTTAAAAAAAGAGAGAGGTTTGTCAGCCAAAAAAAAAAAAAAAACAGATGGAAGGAAAGGTTTGAAAGAAAGGTTGGAACCTGATTGAAGGAAAGAAAGGTTGCAGCTTTCAAGGAAGTTTTGCAGAAAAAGGTGGTTCCTTCATTTCCCTTGCAGCTTGTTTCCATGTATACGAACATTATATTCCTTCCTACATAGAGTTTACAGTAAAAATGCAGCCTTAAAGTTTTCCATGTGAGTTTTGTATGCTTAAAATAAAAAAATTAATAAAAAAAGGTTCTCTAGTTTTTCTTTTGGGATTTAAGAACATACATGGGTTCAATAGCTTTAGAACAGTCCATACATAGTCATATAAGCGTGTATTTGCATTTTCACCCTGGATGCGGTATATAGGAGTTTCACAGCTTTTTTTTCGTATATTTGCTAGTTATAGTATTAAACAAAATCCCATTCTCATTTAGAAAACCAGAAAACAGAGATCAAAAAAGAAAAAAAAGACCCTGTTCTAGCGTGGATAGAGTTATCTTCATTTTGTAATGGTTTCGTTTAGGCACCCAGCTTTGTTTTGTTTATCTAAGAGCCCTTTTACTTGTTTGAAAGCCATACCCTCTATTAGGAAAAAGAAAAGAAGGAAAAGCTGGTTAGAAAATTACAGTTGCTGGGTTCCTACATATTGCGTTTTTTCCGCCTAAGGGTGGAGTAAAATACCAGGTTTCAGTTTTTTTTCATGCACGGATACTGGTAGAGTGGGTCATATATTCCCTTGTTGTCTTTAAAAGTTAAAGAACATGTTGTTTGCCTCTCATGTTTTCGGGTCTTCCTATGACAGAAGGGTACTTTCTTTAGGTCCCATGCAAGTTATCAAGATTAAGTTTTTTTTTTGTGTTCTTTGTTGTCGTGGAAACATGGTAAGGTGTTTCGGCATAGTGTTTTCTTTCTGTTGGCGCTAAGAAGGGAAAACTTTTGTTAGTAGAAAATTTGGCTTATAAAATAAGGAAAGATAGTGGTTTAGGAAAGGTTTTAGACATGATTTTCATTCCAAGAAAAAGTAATCTGTTTTGCAGAAGAAAAACCTGGAAATAGTGGGAATATAAAGAAGAGAAAAATTTAAAGTTCCCTCATTTTCGTTCTTGTTGCTTTGCTTGTTTATGGGAAGCTTATAGCTTCATCATCCTCATATTTGTTACCCAGTGTTTGCGCAACTTAGTGACAGAAACCCAAAGCTTGTTTCATGATTTGTGGCGCCATCCTTATGTTTGTAACTGTTTTATGTGCATGGTTTGTCAGCAAAGATCTATTTTAACCCCTGTCATGTTCTTTTTAAAGTTGAAAACAAAGTTTTTTTCTCTTTTATTTCGATTCGAGTTTTGTTTCCATAAGATAAAAATGAAAAAAAAAATTGTTTTAAGCAAAGAAAATACAGGAATGGTTGAAGCTAACCTGGTTCTACTTGCTTCTTTCTATTTTCAGATTTGGTGTCCCATCCTCGGAAACCAGGCTGGCTTTCATCTCATTCAGTGTTTCTACGGCAGGGTGTTCGTTCATGGGAAATGTTCTTTGGGAAGAGTTTAGTCTCTTTTCTACCACAAAGCATGGTTGTTGGTTTCCATTATCATAGGATTTTTTTAGCAGAAGAACAATTGTTAAATAGGAAAGAAAATGGACTATTTATCTTTTTTCCTTCTTAAAACTTGTTTTATGATTTTTGTCCTTGTGTGTCAAATTTGCAGAAACTTGAAGTCTCATCTTCATTTCTTGCTTGATGGTCTTTAGTTGCGAGCGATAGGATTACAAGAGTTTAGAGTCCCAACAATTGCAAAGTTTTAATCTTTGTTGCATGCCTTTTGTGTCCAGGGAAGTTTAAACCTGTAATTTTCTTTCCTGTTTGTTGGCAAAATAGTACAAAAGGTGATCTTTTTTTAGTGAAAGTACAGGCATGATAATAACAACATATAGGCATCAAAAGCCATGGCGTGGGGGCATAGTTGTGAGGTTGTTGCATTATATATTTCCCCTTTGCCTTCCATT